CTGCTTGCTGAAAATTATGTCCGCTTTTAGATGTGATAAAACCTAACAAATTCTTATATATTATATTTAAACAATCCCAACATTCATTTTGTCTGAATTAGAAAAAAAAAAAACTTAGAGTTTTTCGACACAACCAATTCTATTTCTATGGGATCTAAACTTCCGTTTGTTTCGAAGGGAACTAAACTTTTACGACCAACTGTTTTATTTTTCAAATTTTAAAAACCATTAGCGAAATTAGGCATTCAATTTGAATAAGTAAAAAAGTTAAGGAGCTGGGAGTTGATACTTTGAATTGAAATATGACTAAAACTATGATCTGATCTTATATATCCTATAATATTGTTTGTGATTATACTATATTAATATAAATTGGCGACAGCTTGCGGGCATGCAAAGCAAAATGTCCGTGGCCTCCTCATATTAGTCTTAAATTAGACCCGAGTCTCGTTTATTTCACCGATTCGAGTTTTCAGTTTTAAGTTTCTACAGTAAAAAGTTCTCAGAAAATATCACATCTAACTTTTTCTACTGCAGTAAAAAATTCTCAAAAAATGTCACATCTCAACTCGAATTAAAAACTCAAATCCGCGAAGTGACCGAGACCCAAATCTGCAATTGGGAGACCAGTGGATCTGCACTCCAGAGGCATGCGAAATTTGCAATGGGAAGTGGCAACTTGCTGTTGGGTAAATATGAATGGAAAAAAAATAAGAAATATCACTACTCGTCATGGTAAAAAAATATTATTTATATCACTTTACTTAAAAATAAATAATTATTGTGTAATTAATAAAGAAAAAATAAAAAATAATAATAACACTTGATTATTTAGAATGATATAAATAATAAATTTACACAAAATCATAACAAATCACATACTTTTCTTAATATAATGCGTCGAGCCAAACAGGTCATCTTTCGACCCATCTTTTTAACTTGATTGGGATTGGCCTGGTTGGACCTAGGATTTTGGCCCACGGGTGGGCTGGTCCCGACATCTGCCCATCTGGGTTCAACGTGTGTGCATGCAGCGACGAAGCCATAATTTTTATTTTTTTGTTAGAAGGGGCTAATAACTATAATAGATATATATCCTCGGACAGGTTTCATGTCTTAACATATTGTATGAAAGCTTTATTACTAAAGTCATTGAAAATGTCTTTCTCGATGTACACAAGTAATTGATTCTTGATTTATAAATGAGAGAAAAAATTATATTTTTTGTTTAAACTAAAGCAAAAAAAGAAGAAAAAAAAAACTACAATCGAAATAAAAGGAATAAAATGTTATGGGCATATTACAATCATGTCTAATTGATAACACTAAGAGTTATATTTTTCTTATCTAGAAATATTAATTGTTGTGTACACTTTTTAATTAAGACATGTACACTATTAAAGAAAATCAAGAAACTAGAAAAAAAGCAAAAAAAATAAGTATACTTACTATAATAAACAATTTAAGTCATTATTAGGGGAGAAGACCTTGCTAAGTGCTTACTAATATTAGTTGAATTTTATTTTAAATAATATTAGTTGGAATTTCGTTTACTTTAAAGTGATACATCTTCAAATTTTTAGAAATAAAATGAGATTTTTAATTTTTTGTGGGGGCTATTAAAAACTTTTGTGCTTTTTTGGGGGCTATTCATAATTTTTGAGCTTTTATGGGGGCTTTTCATAAATTTTATGTAAATCTATACATATAAGTGCAAATAAAAAAAATTTAGTAAGTTAAAAACTTTTAGTCTCTGTGTGCATGGCACTTGCTAGATCCAACATGGCCAATCTGACCCATTAAATTGATTATTTTAATATATTTAGAATTTATTTTGTTCAATTTTTTAATTATTTTGCTCTCAATTTAACTTTTCATTTTATCAACATCTAAAATATAATTTTTGAATATTGATTATGAAGGGTATTTATGTTGGGGTTATATTTATAACTCTCTTGAAGAACTTAGAGGAAAATCTTTGAACAATTTAAAAACATGAAGAATACCTTTTGAATTATCAAAAATGTAAAGGCAAATGTGGTATTCTATTAAAAACGTTAGACATTTTTTCCGAGCGTCTGTTTGAGCCACGTTCAATGTGCACACAGAAGAAACATTATGGTTTAAAAAACAAAACAAAAAAAAAATTATTAGCTTTGTAGTTGGCCCCTAAAATTTTACAAGTGTTGCAAATCGATCCTCAAACTTTTGTTTAGTGTTTAATTTTCCAATGTCTCATTTTCTTTACAATTCCGCCTACTTCTATATGTTCTGACCTCATAACTTATTTTTTAAATCATTATAAAACTACGCGGAAAATACTATATAACTTTATTCCTACTTAAAATTTACTCTTTTTAAGTTGACGTGTGTCTGTGGGGAGGTTTTTGTAAAAATAACTCTTTTGAAAAGTTTTATTAGTAAAATAACTTTTCAAAAATTTTTATTTGCAAAATAACATCTTTTTACAAAGAATGAGTAAATGTCTTTCTTTATAAAAAATAGAATAAGGTTATTTTGCTAATTTCACTTTATTGAATAGTCATTCTAGCATATTGCCCGTCTGTGGGTCCTTTTCTTTAGTTGAAAAAAAAGTTTTCTAGTCTATCAAACTTTCATACATTTGAATGGAATTAAACCTATGAGACAAATAAAAGTGTTTAAGCATGAACACCTCATACTATATTAAGATACCATTTATCATTGGGTTTTTACTTATACTTTGTTCTTTTCACAACTCACTCAAGTCACAACTCAAGTTTTATTATTATAGTATTTTTTCTCATAAAAATTTAAATTTAATTTTTTTACTATAATAATTTTTTATTATATACATAAATTAAATTCTTAAATTGAGTTCCGAAACAAATATACTTGCCGTTCATCTCTTTGTATTAGTGAATCATATTCTAAATCTGATTTACTTTAATTTTCAAATTTTGTAATGAAGTGTAATTAGAATCTGTGTTTAACTTAAAATTCAAGTTTCCTAGATTTCCTAGGTTCCGTTGTTGTTGTACGCTATATATATTCAATCTAGTAATGGAAAAGGGCTATGCCATTCGATTCCCTCAATCTAAACCTTTACATGGTATCAGAGCCGCCGATCCTCGCCAGCCCTTCTTCTCTAAACTCGCCAGCCCTTCTCTCTTCTATTTTCTGATCTTCTTCATTCTGTTCCACACCATGGCTGCCGATCAACAGGCTATCACCATTCCTAATCCAGAAAATTCGATTCAGCCTCTCCAATTGATAAACATCTCTCATCAAAATATTGTTAAACTCATCTCCACAAATTATCTATCCTGGAAACTCCAAATTGAAGCCCTTCTTATTGGATATGACCTATATAAATATATTGATGGCTCACACCCTTGTCCTCCTCCTACGGTACTTACCAATGACAGTGACACACCCAATCCGGCCTATTCTCCATGGATACGACAGGACAAATTGCTGTTTGGCACTCTTGTTGGATCCATCTCCTCACCGCTCATTTCGCTCATACAACAAGCAGCCACAACCCGTGACGCTTGGCTAATTTTAGCTAACACCTACACTCGCCCGTCCCGTGGCCACATCAAGCAAATTAAGGATCAAATCAAAAATTGTGTCAAAGGCTCCCAGACCATATCTGAATACATGCAATTTATTAAGTGTCGTTCGGATGAACTAGCGGCACTCGGCAAGCCTCTTGATCATGAAGACTTAATAGAGAAAATCCTTGCCGGTCTGGATGATGACTACAAAGCCATCATTGACATCGTTGAAGGCCGTGACACGCCTATTTCTTTCGATGAACTTCATGAGAAACTGATTACTCGTGAGTTATCACTTCAGCAATCTTGCTCAGCCATCACGGCACTCACGGATCCGACAGAGTTCCGAACAGTTGTTGGCAGTCTTCAATATTTATCTTTGACTCGTCCGGATATTGCTTATGTTGTCAACAAACTGTCACAATTCATGCATCGTCCGACTACTGAACACTGGAATGCAGCAAAACGCATTCTCTGGTATCTGTGGCACCATTGATCACGGCCTTGTCATCCATCGTCGCTCACCTCTTAATCTTCATGCATTCTCCGATGCTGATTGGGCCGGAAACAAAGATGACTACACATCTACTAGTGCTTACATCATTTACCTCGGCAGCAATCCAATCTCTTGGATGTCTAAGAAACAAAGAACGGTTGCTCGCTCTTCAACTGAGGCTGAATATCATTCAATTGCTGCTACAGCGGCTGAACTTCGATGGATCATCTCTCTACTTGGTGAACTTGGTATCTCCACCACACAGAAACCTGTGATCTACTGCGACAACGTGGGAGCTACTAATCTCTGTTCTAATCCTGTGTTTCACTCCCGCATGAAACACGTTGCTCTAGATTATCATTTTATTCGCAAACAAGTTCAAAATGGTCATCTACGTGTAACACATGTCTCCTCTACAGACTCCTCTACGGACCAACTTGCAGATGCTTTCACTAAACCATTACCTCGCACATGTTTCCGCGATCTACTACTCAAGATTGGTCTCTCCTCCCGGAGCTCTAACTTGCAGGGGCATATTAGTGAATCAGATTCTAAATCTGATTTACTTTAATTTTCAAATTTTGTAATGAAGTGTAATTAGAATCTGTGTTTAACTTAAAATTCAAGTTTCCTAGATTTCCTAGGTTCCGTTGTTGTTGTACGCTATATATATTCAATCTAGTAATGGAAAATGGCTATGCCATTCGATTCCCTCAATCTAAAACTTTACATTTTGCCCATTGAAGACATCCTGGCAATCGATAACAGGAAAAAGGTAACCGTTGTCATCAAATGGATCGGGCTGGATCAACCCACAATCAATTGGGCTTTAGGACCGGACAAAGCCCTTGAACCCAAATTTGCAGCGAGATGGGCCAAACCATGGGCCCAACTAGCTGGGCCAGGGACCAAACGAACCCCATAAATTGGAGGATAGCGAACAAAACTAGAAGAGAAGGTTAAAGGCAAAGGAGCTCAGCCATTTTTGCGAAGGAACTTCACTCGCAACGCTCAAAGCAAAACCGATTTTCTGGTTTCTCGACTCGTAAATGTGAGTACTCTTCGTCTTCGCTTAATTTCCTGAGTTCAGAATGTTGGATAAGCTAGCAAAATCGCAAATGACGATAAAGGAATGGAGAATCTTTATGTTCTTATATTCAATTCCTAGGGTTTTCGTCCTTTTTTTTTTGTTTTTCTAAATAACATGTGTTCTTGATTGATTTGATATGGTGTATTTCGTTTACAGCAATCATGGCGGACGAGAATGAGGTGAAAGAGGAGGTGGCGGAGGTAAGTTCGCTGCTTCTTTTTTTTTTTTTTTTTTTAATAAATTGGAAAGTTGAACCTTTAATGGTTGATTTTTATTTTCTTAAAGGATTAGGTGATTTTAGGGATTCGTGAATTTTTTTTTTAATTTTTTGAAGTGGCCTTACTCTAATATTATATATATATAT